GCAATATTTTTTGTAATAGCCTCTATTGAGAAACAACAAGAAAGGCAGCATACAGTGAATAATGTACACTGAGTGCACTCCTACTCATGATTGGCCATAGCGGAAATAGAAAGCTTTGTGTGATGAATACGGAAATTTATACTATTATTTAATTGGCCAATTATTTATTTCAGGAACCTTAAATTACAGGAAACTATCCATATATACAGAAAAAAAACACTGGTACCAATAACCAATAATAATAATATTAACGTTCCAATATTTTAGAGCTCTGTATAGTTAACTATATTAGATGCTGAGATATAACACTGAAGTGTAACCTGGGTGGTGCAGTGGTTAGCATTGTTTCCTCACCAAGAAAGTTCTGGGGTTCAGGTGTCGAGTTTACATGTTCTCCCTCCTGTTGCTCTGGCTTCCTCCGACAGTCCAAAGACATGCAGTATAGGAATTATTTTTGTCTCTATGCGTCAGCCCTGTGATGAACTGGCAACCTGTCTGGTTGTACCCCTGCGACCCTGAAAATGATAAGCAGTTATAGATAATGGATGATAAGTAAAACCTTTGACCTACTGGTGACAGTACATGAATAGTAGTAGACCATAAATGTATAAAATTTCATGGCAATCCAGCCATAAGTTGTCGATGTATTTCAGTTGACAGTCACTGACAGACCGACATTGTCATCCTGGATGTGTCCCCTCAATCACACCTAACCTGCGAACCATAATGCCATCTCTGCTCCAAGACATGTCTGTGCAGTTATCTGTCACCCCGTGGTCATTGTGTTTGTGTGATTTATTGAGCTGCTCAGACAGCCAGCTGGGGCTTTTCTGGAGTTAATTCGTTCATTCTGTCGTATGTATGTGTGTGAGGATCAAAGAGATACAGAAAGCAGATGAAAGAAAGGAGGTGAAAGACAGGTGGATGTACAGAGAAGGGCAGACATGCTGCTGGGACCTGCAGTCATACTTATGGTACCTGTCTGATTGTCTGAAAGTCAATGAAATGAGGAGGGCTGAATGCACATTGACAAGAGCATAAGGGGTTGGACAAATCAATGGCTAGTCTGTGCACTCAGGTCACTCTGGGAAAACCAACGATTTTACCCAGTGGTCCATAAACAAAATCAAAAGGGAATTGAGTTCAGTCTAGATCAAGAACTAAGCAAATCAAAAGCAGGAGGTCTAATACTGCCCTTGTGTTAAACACTTAAACACACATTTAATAAACACTATACTAACACATGTATATCCCTTTATTTACATTCAAGATAGGCAGTTCAAACCTGGTTCACGTTCAGCAGCTCAGTATGGAGATGTGAGCATGTTCTGAATTTTAATTACATTACACTGTAAGCTCATGAAAAAGAAATTAGATGGCAGTTAAAGATGCAAGAGCTGCCTCTCACCAAATCTGTCACATTCGAAGGCTCCTGTTCAGTAATGCGTTCAGCAGTCACTAAAGCGCTTTCACACTGTGATGGATTTGAAGCCTGCCCAGGCGAGTGTGAAGAGTTTATACTTTTTTCATGAGAAGGGTAGATAATATAAAGCGTAAAAATCTGTCTAGCTGTATGACTGCAGTTTTTTCTTATACAAACGTACGCTGAGCAAATTTCACCCATCTATCCTCACAGAGACAGCATTCTGCATGAAACTGCAGTACTACCTGCAGTACCTCAATATCCTTTCTATTCAGTCTGTGTCTTTACTTCCCAAACTTAAATTTTAACTGTATGTGCCTTACAATGGTTATTTCAACAGAACTCATAGAGCTATCTGAAAAATCTCAACAACTACAGAATAGATTGCCATTACATTTTGTACCGACTATGTTTCCCAGAGAATGAATCAAATTGCTTTGGCTTTTGACTTTCTCTGAAAGCTTTCCAAGAGGTTGACATTTGTGGTTTTAATTGAAATGTCTTGACAACTATTAGAATGATGTCATGACATTTATTCAGACATTATGTTCCACTCAGATTAATTATATATAACTTCCATATGTGCCACATCAGGTTTTGTCAAATGGCAACATTTCTTTTAACTATTACTTGTGAACAATCAGCACTTATTGTTGTCATTGTGGGCAGTGATTTAGCATTTACCTAAAGCACCACTATGCTTAAGTGTAGCCTCGGAGCTGTTAGCGTGGCAAGTTTAACAAGATTCATAGAGTCAGATTTACTAATGAAAGGGCTTTGTGAAAATGTGCACTTCTCAATGAATTTGTGGGGGCAGTCTGCATGTGTTTAGCTCCTGATTTAGTGGACACAGTCATTACGCAGACAGCTTCTGGACTGCAGCTGGTACTGCCCTTCAGACTCATAGTGAAGTGAAGGAAATCTCACCTTTCCTTTGGTGATATAATGTCTGTGGAACTGGTACCACACGTTCCTGCTGTAAATTCCTGTGGTAATGTTTGTGTTCCTCTGATATTTTCCTCCGGTTCTCAGAGTGTATGTGGTGTTTTGGGGCTTTTACCACAGGATTGTACCAAAGATTCTTGGTACTTTGCCACACAGCAAAAAAAAAAAAAAAAA